AATAAAATTGCTCTTTTTTAGAAAAAAATCAATTTTTTTTTATTTTTTTTATTACCCAACCGCAAACGCTTGCAACCGCAAACGCTCGAAGGAAGCAGCTTTTGATTTTTAGAAGTTTGGAGCGACACGGAACGGTATTAAGCGTTTCGCATGATTGTTGTCAAATGCCAACAACCGCTACCACCCGCAAACGCAACGTGTGCGGGTAGTAGCTAAAGAACCAATCAACCTCTTAGTCGACTCGTATGAACATAAATATACCATTCCTTCTATTATCACTTTTTAGGAAATTCACAGACCCATAAATATATCAACATAAATACGTTTATTAAAAGACGAGAAAAATAGACCAAAGGTTTGTTTTTAGAAAAACAAAAACTGGCCAATTTAATTAGACGTTATGGTCGACAAAAAAAAAAAAAAAGACCAAGTTAATTAGACGAGTCATCATTAGCCATCAAGATGGTTAATTAAGTTCCACTCTATTTCACGAAAAGCTTTTATCTATGAGGTTCACAAACTCGTAAATATCAATCTTCCCATCTCTGTTTTCATCAAAAACCTTAATCATCTTCCTACACTCCATCTTTGTACACTCATCATATCCTAAGAAACACAACATATGTTTCAACTCATCTTCATCTATGAACCCATCTTGATTTTCATCAAATAACCTAAATGCCTCCTTCACTATCTCCTTATTAGCCAACATCACACTCTTCGAAAGCAAGTACTCTTCCCCTTCTTCTATCAAACGCTCATAGACAGCTTCCGAGTCATCGATCATGGCCTTGACTTCTTCGACGGACATTTTGTTATCCACTCGAGATGGGACGAAAACCTTTTTTATGATCGGGAGCTCGATATTTTGCTTCTTGTTTCTAGTTGGCGCAAAGAGAATGTAGGTGTTAGAGAAGAAGAGTTGGAGAGGATAGGGAAAAGAAGAAGAGAAGTCTTGGATTATCATCATGAGATTGAGAATAAACAAGAAAATGACAATGGTGAGAAGAGAGATTGGGCTAAGAGCAGATGAATCCTCCATATTAATCTATTTTTTTGTGTGTGGAATACCATAAATAATTCTCTATGAATTTTGTTTGTTCTCTTTGGTTCTCAAAGAATGGATAACAAGTGTGTGTTGAGTTGGTCCAATTTTATAAGAGGGCTGTTACATTCTAGTTAAGTAATTCTATAAGAAGACCAAAACAAATCTTAATCATAAAGTCTACGGAAAAGTCTTTTTGGAAATTGTTGAGAAACTACCAAAATTCTTGGGAAGAGAAAGCAAAAGTATTTACAAAGTACTATTTAAAAATTCACCGCAACAACAAAATTTTCTTCTAAAATTATTCTAAATAAACGAACAATAATTATGTCTAAAACAGTAATTCTTAATTTTGTATTCTTATTTTTGAATATTAGTCAGTATTTCAGTTTATAATCTGAATTTGATCCAGAATTTTATCTAGGCTATTATTATATCTATATTGTTTAAATATATAAGGTAAAGTAAACCGGATTTAAGTAAACTAAACAAAAATTTACCTTTACGTTATTTTTCCCGAAATATAAAATTTTTTAGATTTATGATAATTGTGTAGCATAATGTTCTCAACTTTTCATGATATCCAAGAGCACAATAGATGTAGAAATTAATTGGAGTTGAAAGTTGAGTGGGGGCTATCTTTTATTATCTTGGATTCCAGTTCAGGGAAATTTCCATGCAATTTCCTTGCAACGTTTTATTTAATTGATTTATCATGTTGCTCTCACCGACCCTATAGACCCAAATTTGGATTGTTTCGCTATGTGTAATAAAGCAAAAAGAAACTAGTTTGGTTGAAAAATTGATTGTTTGTTGTCACCTAATTCTTCTTAATTATAGTTTAGTGCCGGCAAAAAAAAAAACTTATACTAGTTTAGTGTTGAGGGTTTCACGTTGTATTTATTTTTATGACGGAAATTCAAACGAAATATCATATTGATTCCTAAAGATTGTGTATACGCTAGTGGTAGAGGTCTAAAAGCATCATTATCGATGGTACTTTTACAGTATCATTGAATAAAAATGATTAAAAAATTAAAAATTGAAGAGATATGTACGTGAGATATATCAACACGGCGAGACGCAAGAAACTGTCTCATAGATGATGTGGCGAGTGATAATTGGGCTACTGAGATTTTTTTTTGCTAAATAGTAAATATCATTTATGAAAATGAAAGTTTAGGATCGCATGGATATTCGGGTCGGATCCTA